AATAGAAAACATGTTTGATAGTTAACAGCTATCGAAAATCTATCAACTAAGCTATCAAATTGTACGTTTGGTCGCCTATTTTAATGGATTGATTGCGATTTTGCAGTTTTCCACAAAAATCATGGTCCCAGTAACACCCGAAAGATCTCGCTACGGTATCACTTGAAATTCCTACATCATCATGCAAACTCTTTGACATATTCGAACTATCTTATATTTGGTAGACGAGACACTTGAAGTATACTTATTTTCAGAAATGTTATCACAAAACTTCATGGCCTTAAATCATTTACACTGACACCTGTGTATGGAAAGTGCAGTTTTCTTAGCCCCTTATGCGTCCTCTGATGTTATAAATGACTTCCTTCGCCTTGGCACTTACACCACAGACCAGAGATTATCATTAGCCCCCTTCTATTTTTATCATCTCTGCACAACCGGTTTGACATCTCAAAAGCAATTCTAGCAATTATTGCGACGATTCCTCATCACAATTTGACCAGATAGATTGAGCCACTTGAGCGGTCAATTCAGTGAAAAGAATTGATCAGATTGATAGTCACCGAATTTCACAAAAACAGTAAAAGTGACAAAACCCTTAGTTCATTTCAACGTTAAATTTTGCGGCATCTCTAGAATGATGGAATCAACACAACCGGTCGCGAATTCGTCGCCATCAGAGTAACGACGATGCGATGCCAACGACGATTACACTGCGCAAACCTCACAGTCTTTGTACTCAACCTAACATTGAAATCGGGCCACTACGCGCTCATTGAGTTTATTTCAAGGACACTGCAACCAAATTATGTGGAAAACTATCCAGATACCTCAACGGCCGACTTTTAGATTTCTTATCAAAGTTCAAGTAAACTCAAAATAACTCAGGAATATTAGAAATCCCATACTCGCTAGAATTAGCCTAATCCCGATGAAAGGTAGAAGATTAATGATTGAAAAAAAAACTGATTTAATGGTCAATACGAGCTCACGATACTGATAAGATTGATGGGAACAACTCGGTAAACATTCAGCTCGGTAAAAAAGTTAAAAATAGAAGTCAGTAAAGGAGCGGAAGTCATCAATCAAACAAAAACAAACGACTACTCACCGTCTCGATATTAGAACTGTACCTAGCTGCCAATTCTTCCATTGGGATGATGTGCTCATCCTAAATAAGATGAATATAAGGAGTACAGACATCATTTTATCTAATTTTACTCACCATCTTAACCTCTTGTTTGAGCTCATTTAGATCGTTCGCCTTATCCTGGGCTTTCTTCCCCATTTTCT